CTTTCGCTAAAAACCGCGACCAACATACCTCATGCTGGGTTTACATACTAACTATGAAAATTGCAAGCCTAATCACTCCTTCTACGAACTCGGATAACTGAAAGGGAATCAACCCTACCACATATCGCAGTATTCCAAACCATCAATCAACCACTCAACTTCCAGCTATAATCACCTAGCCAATCATAACAATTGTTTCTTTCTTGAGTCCCCCGACTCAATGCACGACCTCGAGCAATACCCGCGGGACCAACAAACTCATCCAAGTCTGTTCCATTCAACCCAACCCAATATCACCACTGGGGCCCAAAACAATTTTCATACCCATCCTCATGTTTGGGCAACCGTACCATAAGATCAACAGATACATAATTGCTGCCACAAATCATGGTATTAAACATGCCTTCTTCCCCGACTAGCCCTTAGGATCCCCGAAACTCTCCTTGATTCGAGTATGGATCCTGTGCTTCCAATAGTACGGGCCCAACACTACCTTCCACCTATCCATACTTTCCTCAAGAATTATCCCGAGTCCTCTAAGCCCTACTCATAATAGTACTCCCGATGTCGGCTCAACAGGGAACAACTGTTCTAAGATACCTCCTAGGCTCCGTTAGGATTCCCACACCTCCCGTGCCATCAGTTGCTGAAGAACTCCTACTAATGTCATCTAACCACTTAATGAATACAATTACATGCAACAAAGCTTAAATAATATTCGGCTAAAGGACTCAACCCTACAACGGTTGGACTCAGACAAGAGCTACATAATAGGTTCAAGTCCTTCATTCTAAGATTATTTAAACTTCATAACATGTAATTTAAGGTATTCATTTGATGGTTAACTCACGTCATTATGGGTCCCACAAAGCACAAAGCAAGCAACATTCAAGCAGAGGAGACGAACGACACTAAGACACAATAAAATCAGACAGATCCTCATACAAAATTCTCGATCTCTATCTCCCAGCATCTCAGATACATCTTCATTCTGTCTCCACTCTCGAGAGTGGCTAATCATTCCTCATGCTGACCCGTTATGAACTGCACCCGCTCATGAATCTTCCAGCAACCCTGCAGCCACTCGTGCAAGCTAATCATACATAACGTTGGATTCCATAGACAGTCGAATATTTGACTCTACTCTAAGCCCTTAATCATATAAGAACAGGAAGTAAAGCTAAATCAAACATTCTCATGCTATAGAATCTTTGTTATGTACAAGTATGATGCACACACTAAGTGACCACAGTAATGATATCAATTTCATATCAGAAAGAAACCTAGACTATCAAGCATCACATAATCAGGCAATTCTATCATGAAAGTCCTGAAGATCCTAGCCTAACACTAGTATGTTGTTCTAACATATCACAATATCAAATAAAAGTGTGGTAATTTGGGGTCTACTTAATGGCTCTGGCTGATCGTACACATCGCATCCTTTCTTGATATTTTGAAAACAATTTTGAAAATTATTTTTTTAAAACCTTTTTATTTCCTTAGTTTGAGAGAAGATTCACATGAGTGTTCCTCCAATTCACTCAAACCAAGGCTATGATATCAACTTGTAACATCCCAAAAATTTGAAAAAATTTAAACTTTTCAAAACAACCCATTTACTAATAAAAGTGTTTAAAAAATCACTGTTCCCAAAACATGATTTAAAATCAGAGTCACCCAAGATCCAATCAGTAGTAAAACCAAGGATGTATACGGTCACGCCTTTGCCTTGCCGCAACTGTCTGAAGCACCTGAAACAATAAACTAAAACTGTAAGCACAAAGCTTAGTGAGTTCCCCTAAAGTACCACCACACACAGAGCGTTCATCCTAACTGTACTGCCGCACCGGCCTACAGACTATCTGGACTGCTCTCAAAGCCTTCAGCATGACTGGACCGCCTGACCAGGCCTTCAGCCTATCTTGACCGTTCTCCCGGCCTTCGACCTGACTGGACCACCTCACAGGCCTACAGTCAATCCGAACGCCCCTAGGTATGTTGGCCTTCAGCACAAAGCAGGACTGCCTCAACCCAACCACACGTAACATGTCGACATATACATAACAAACAAACATATAACCAATCAACAGACAAATATGCAGATCTACAGATCACCACCGATATGCTAGCATCCCATATACCAGGATACCGATCTAACTGATCACTACAACAAAACAACATCCTATATACCAGGATACAGATCTAACAGATCACTACAGCATAACAACATCCTATATACCAGGATACAGATCATACAGATCACAACAACATGAAAACATCATATATACCAGGATACAAATCTAACTGATCACTATAGCATAGCAACATACGGTAAACCAGGATATCAATCAAAAGGGCCAGCCTTGGTGCCTTCGATCCGTATGTAGAGTGAGGAAAACTCATCTCGCCAATCAGAAAACATCTGATGAGGCCCCGACTCTAAATCCTAGCTCTCAAACAAACACCTACTCCAACCAAAATACCAAACACAATCAAACTCCCAAAAATACCCTCAAGGTCCAACTTGGTCAAACTTAGTCAAAGTCAAAGTCAAATGGTCAAGGTCCAAAAGTCAATATCTCTTCCCCGTGGAGTATGCCCTGCATACGCCCATAGGTACTCTAATGTTGACCAAAAGCGTAGCGCTAACCGCGTGCGTGCAACGTACCACCAGGTACGCCCAACGTACGCAGCTCGGTCCCGAAACTCCATTAAGAGCTTATTCCGTTAACTTCTTACATCCAAAACCCATATCCAAGCCGAAAATAAGTCATAAAGTTTCCAACTTTATGACTTTGCATGGCTATAAAGTGCTTAATGTCTAAAACCCTAAGTTCTTAACCCAAGAAGACATCACAACTCTTGCATGAAAGGGATAGAAGGGCCAAGATTGCATTTTTTAGTTCATAATAACTTTATAATGGATAAATTTTCCAACATTATCCATTAGAATGGTCCCAACTGTTGGGTTAAAAGTACTATAACACTCATATGGTGCACATACAACCCTAGATGCTTTGGATCTAAGTTTTCTCTAATTATACATGCAATTTCATTTTTCCAAAGCATACACCCTAGCTAGCATGCAATTGGAGATATACAACATAAAAACATGTTAGATGAATACATCTTAGTGTAACTTGTAGTTCTTGGCCTTTAAAAGCTTTAGCACCTCAAATGTGATGCCTCTAATGTGTTACAAACACCAAATGCAAGAGGAGGCTTATGAGAGAGAGGCTAGAAAGCACCAAATCGGTTATGGTTCACCTTTAGAATGCACTAGCCAATTTTGGGGGTTAAGGGGTTACTTTTATAGTGTGGAAATCCTAGGTTTTCTTCCATGCAAACCCTAATTCACCATGACCCTTCATATTTCTTAGGCCCTTTGGGCTAAACCTTCATGCACTATCATATAGGTTTAGCCCATCCCTAATCAACATGGATCATTAGCCCAAACTATAAGTATTACTGATTTACTTAATCAGTCCCCGTAAATTTAATCAGTCTCTTTTGATCACTAAATTAATTTCAAATTAATTCTTGATCAATACTAGTTAAATAATATGATTTCTGAATTAATATATTATTCATATAATATATTCATAAATCACAAACAACCTCTTTCTCAAAAGTCCATCCTATCAAATTGCTCCGGTGAAGGCAACCCAAAAGGGCCATGCTACTATCGGGTCATGTAAATATCAATTATAGTTATGGGCTTAGACACCTAATCCAACACCAACAAACAAGATCTAGTCTTTAAGTCTCAAATAGACCCAAAAGGACATCTTTTTCAACTTAATCCATTAAGTACAAGTGTCCAAATTTCAGATCTGAATCAAAATGATGTTTAGATGGATAAAAGTTTCCAACTTTATCCATAACAACGTCACACACTTTCAAGATCTAAACTTTATGAACTAAAATGGCCAAAAGCTCATAACATCCAAAACTAGTTAGATCTAACAAATGCATCATCAAGATTCAAACTTTATACCCCTAGAAGATAGATCAAGTTGAACAAAGTCCACGTCTACAAGCTCCAATGCAACCAACACTTCTCCAAGAATTTCTTTCTTCTCCAAGGTGCACCATGCATATTCCAAAGCACTCAAGAACACCTTCTTTTAGCACACAAGGCTCAACTAGGGTTAAGGTTTCACGGAAGGGGTGTTGGAGGGGTGGAGGTTGAGAATGGAGTGGGTTTAGGGGAGTTAAGGAGCTTAAATAGGGCTCAAACCATGAAAATAGGGTTTGGGTGCTGAATGTGTACGCCCATCGTACTTCTGGTACGCCTAGTGTACTCATGGTGCCTCAGTACGACCAACGTACTCAACATAACCCAAAAGTAACCAAACTTCAAACGGACATATCTTCTTCATTCTAACTCTGATTTTGACATTCTTTATATCCGAACTGACACTTTACCGAAATACCCCTTGGCGCCAAAACACAAACCGAACTCTCGGACCATCTAAATTACATTACCCACACCCAAATGGGTCTAAATCTCTTTTCCTCAAAGGCCCTAAGCCTTATTATACTCAGTCTTCGGGTCACCACCCCCACATAGGAAACGATTCGGAACAGGGCGTTACAACATTAAAGATACTTAATTACTGACTTGGGTTATTGATGGTTAGAACAAAAAACTATATATTTCACATTTGTTCTATATGCCCGAAACTATGAATTTCAATTTTCTAGTGGTGTCAATATTATGTTCAAGTTGAACGACGAGGAACGTGGTTATACAAATTGATGTTACAATTGGTGTTGCTTTCATTAAATACATGGATTTGGTTTTACTTACATAATTGTTGTGGTTTCGTAGCAGAAAGAATATGAACATAACCATAGAAACAAACATGTATTTTCTAGTTATAGTTGAAACTAAAGAACCATAAAGCAAAAATCCAAATCCAACCAATAAGTCTAGTTACCTCGTTACATGAGTAGGTAGGTGCTACTTATGGTTTACCAGAAAGCTTGTAACATCATAATCTATTATAAGAAAAGTAATCGGCTTTGGTACCCCAACTAAAAACTATTTCCATAATTGTGACTTCATGCCATTCTAAAACGAGATTCGGCTTTTCTCCCTTAAATTCAAAAAACTCAAGCTTTTTCACATCTGGAGTCATCATTTTTCTTGCATCACCTTCATGCAACTCCCGCTCTTCCGGCCCATCAAATTCCTAGAGCATCAAATAAACACATAAGTTTTTCATGTGAGGTACGTAAATCTAAACTAATGTTTTTAGTTGATGAAAAGACTAATTATTGACTCAATTGTCTTTTTGCATATAGTAGGATAATGTGAAGGTACCCACTTCAAATCCTTTTAAGATTGCATCTAGGGTTTGTGAAAACTTAGCCTAAAGACCATATGTGATGTTTTATCGTCAAAACTGAGATTTATTAATACGGGTCATGAAAGGCATAAAAAAACTACCATTTGATCATATGAAAATACCTCTTTAACAATTAACTTGAGAGACTCTTGTTTGGGATAATATTTGAGAATTCGAATGAGTTCATCCATGGTGAAGGCATCAATTGCTGTGATTAGCGCCAGAGTCTTCAGATTAGGTAGGGCCGGATTACGTGCAACATTAATGCACTACGATAATGACAGAAAGTAAGGATTAGAGTATACTCAAATGATAAAAATTTGATGAAAACAAATGATACTATCAAACATCTCCCAGTATCATATTTTTTCCTATGAATTACTTGATAACCAAGTTTGGAGAAAAAAAAGAACATAGATTGAGAAATCTGTAGAGACTATTCGTCTAGTAAAAATTGCTACATTTCAGCTTTTGGCAAGTATTCAAGCTAAAACTACACATTTCAGCCCTTATTGGAGCTATAAACTTTGATCCAAAACATTTCATGCATTTGTCTATTTTTTTTTTTGGAAACGATGCATTTGTCTATTAAGTCACTCTTTATGCATTAAGTTAAAAACAAACACCATGTAGTATATTTACCAGATTACACCTTGTTCTCCTTAAGTAGAAAAGAAACAGCATTTAAGAAGTTAATGTTCTATTCTTGGTTTAATAGGCTCTTCTTCACATCTTCACTTATATAGAATGGATGCATTATGCATGAGGGTCAAGCATAACAATTGTTACAACATGAAACTTCTGTATTTTGCCATCGATGTCCTCAAGATTTAACTAGAGTGAGAGTCTTGTCTGATTTGGGTCAACTCTTTTATAAAAAAAAGGTTGTAAAGCTCCTTGCAGAAATTACATAGAAATTTTTTTTTTAACAGGAATGAATAGTTGTGCATAAAGTATATAAGCATGTACCTGACTAAAGAAGTAAAGGTCAATCCACAGATGTTCCACATGAGAAATTCCAGGAAACAATACAGATTTGATGTTCCCGGTCAATTTAGGCTCAATTCCTGCTTTATTTAAGGAGTCAAGACATTCAAAGAAAAAATTATTTGCTATAAGACCTCTTAACTCCAAATCTACCAGTTTTGGGCAGGAAATCTTAACTCCGCCACTCTGGCCATCATCCATAAGGGCCACATTAAGAATGCTAAGCTTCTTGAGCTTCGGACTTGAAATACAAAGAAGATCAAGTTTGCATAGCATGCAGTCTAACAAACCCAGATACTCATGCGAAGGGCAGCTTTCCAGAAAACCTTTTACCACACTGCCGTCACCCAAGTCAACATAGGCCAAATAAAGATCCTTAAGGCCAGGAAACACCATAATATTAGGCAACTTTAGACCACGATAATTCAAATCCAACAGTAATGCCTCCAAGGAACAGCAAGTCACAAGACAATGGGGCAGCTCGACATCCTCATTCTCCTCTTCAGGGTAAAACGTCAACTGAAGTTGTTTGACGTTTCTTGTAACGGCCATGTGAATCCACCGCCTTACTGTCGACATGCTGTAGTAATCATAACAATCTAAACTAAAACGATACAAATCGACCGATCTGTTTGCTAAAACCCAAAACACAAAGTCTTTGAATTCGTCTGTTTTTAATTTGTCTTCTCGGTGAAATCGGGAAAATAAGTCTAGAGAGGGAATTGAGGTCCACAGATACCTCCATCGTCTGGACAAAATGCTGGTTTGAATTACTTCTTCTGTAAAGAAAAGAAAGGAAAGAATCAATAGAAGAATAGAATCCGGCATGTTACTGATGAAATCGACCCCATCTTCAGATTTTGTTGTCTTTGGTTCTTCAAATTTTTTCATGCCTTTTTGGAAATGTGAATAAAAAATTATTTAGAGACGCAGACGGATATCAAATCACACACAACACAGTTTCCAGTGATTTATCTCTTTGGTCGCTCGTATATTCTGCATTCATATACATAAAATGGAACGACCTACTCTTATCGCGCCAGGTTTTAAAGGTTACCCAACATTTTCACCCTTTATTATATATATAATTTCATACAAATTTATGCAACCATTTATCAATCTTTTATTAAATTTTGTATTTTAACTTTATATATTATTAATTTACGCATGCATATTGATAGTGTTCTATATTGAGAAAATAAATTAGTTTATTACCTATATATATATATACCATTAAATATTATATTTAATGGAATAAATATAGACATATAGTTAATGAACAAAGTAGTATCTCAATAGAGCATTTAATATATAGGCCTAACCAAATTCGAGTTTAGGTTGGACACAGCCCAAGACCTATTATATATGTGTGAGGCCCGGTGCACAAAATATATGGTTCGTAATCTTTTTTTTGGAAAACGGCAAATATATTAAAAAAATCACATCAAGATGATGTGGGAAAAACAGTACAATAATGAAGATCAGAAACGAAAATTACAAACAATGAAAAGGGCATAAATTCCACACTCTTCGATCAACCTTTTTGCATGAAGTTCTATGTTTGCACCAAGTAAAAGTTAAGGCTTTTATCATTTCTATTGTGATCACCGGTGTTGTGTAGATATTATCAAAAACCCGTTTGTTCCTGTCCACCCATAAGCACCATAATGCTCCACATAATATCATATTCAGTAATCTCTTTTTCCTATTATACCCCGGCCATCTTGAAACAAAAAGTATCATGTCCTTTACCGAAGTGAATCTTTCACATCGGATTTCACACCGAGTTAGAATCGAGTCTATGACAATCGTCGCCTTCGGGTACGTGATTAAAATGTGGTCCGACATCTCCTCATCCAAATTACAAATGCTACACCTTGTAGATGAGATAGGAATCCCACGCTTACTAAGTTCCATAGCAGATGATATTTTTCCTTGCTTTTGCTCTCCACATGAATGATAGAATCTTGAACGGAGTCGCTTTTCCCAAATCAAACGGTCCGTCGCATACCACGTAACCAACTAATTCAATCCGTTCATGTAGCCGATTTACCATAAAGCTACTATCAGATACAAATTCTGATTCCCAACAACCCTCATTCGAGTTCCAAGATATTATTTCATTGGGATCAATGTTGACCGTTTGCAGAAACGACATGGATTTAGTTATATTTTTCCATACCCCAATACTTGATCTATTAGCAAAAACAGACTAGTGTCTTCCGTCTAAATTATGGATACATCTAATAGTTTTCGCCCACAAAGCTGAGTTCTCAGATTTCAGTCGCCACATCCATTTTGCTAACAATGAAATATTGAGAGATTTAATCGACCCAAGTCCGATCCCACCAATCGTCTTTGGAGAAACAAGCTTATCCCAAGCGACCCAGCAGATACTTTTCTTTACATACTTGTAACATCCCATTTAAAATATAATAATTGAATAATAAACCCGGAACCCAAGAAGCAATTTTTATTATTTTATATGTTGTTATAGTTCAAGATCAGATAATAATTAATGGAGTGTTGGTTGCGGGGTGCCAAATGATATACTTTTGATTTCCGAGAGTTAAAAGTGTGAGTTTCGGATTGGTTTCGTAAATAATTATGAAGGCGGGGACTATTGGGTAATTGTTGGGACGTAATATGAAGAGATGTTGGAAGTTAAGGGCTAAATGGTAAAATTCGGACTCAAATTGTAAAGAGTTTTGAAGTTCAGGGTTAAAAAGGGAAATTAAGGTTTTGTTTTGAAAGGAAATGGAGAAGGAGGGGCGAGTTGTGTCAATATGGGAAGAAGTTTCATGTGCATCGGGTATTTAACGTAACTTCTAAACCCTAACCCTAAAGGATGTAACAGCTGACACCCCACTCCTTCTTCATCCTACCAGCCGCCACCCTCTCCCTTCTCCATCGTCCGACTGCCACCATCCTTCCCACCCGACTCGCTTGTTGTTCCGACCAACCAAGACCGCCATCAACGTTGCCATGGCCGGAGATAACGAAATCGACGGGTGAACCGGGAACGATAGTCGTTGTTGTCATTTCCGGTGGGGGGTGCGACCACCACAGTTGAAGACCAAGACCGCCGAAAACGTCGCTGCTTCGCCATCGTGACGTACGCTCCCCTGACGCTGCTAATCTCTTCATCGCCTCTCTCTGCAGATGTCGTTCTTCTCCCTTCGTGTTCGTTCGAGCCCGCTGCTATCCACCGCCTGCCGCCGCGGAGTGACTGAGATAGGTGCGTGGTTCAGTTCAGATCGACGAGTGGGTTCGTGTTCCAGTAGCATGGTGTGTGTGGGCGTGTTTTGCTGGCTGGAAAACATGAAGAACCACCATGGCAGCCAACCATGGTGGTTACCGCCCGTGTTGCGCTTTCTGCCGCCACCAGCCACCATGTGTGGTGGCTGTGTGTGTGTGTGAAATGGGGTTTAAGTGTATGTATTTCAGTTTAATGTAATCTTTGGGTGCTGTTTGGCCGGAAATGTCACCACCACCACCGTGAGGTGGTGGCTGCCACCATATACCACCACCGGCCACCACAAGGGTGGCTGTGGGTGTGTTTATCAACTAGTGTGTGTGTTATTTTCTTGATTAAAGTATTGTAACATGTAATTAGAGACAAGAATAATGAAAAGAAAACTCAAACCACCACCGTGAGGTGGTGGCTGCCGCCACCGACCGCCGTATCGGGTGGCGGTGTGCTTTGATTGCGTTTGGACCCCGTTTGGGGGATATTTGGACAATGTGTGACCAATGAAACCCTAATGGGCCCAAAGAAACCCTAGTGGCCCAATGGAACCCTAATGGGCCAATGAGGCCCAATGTGACCTAAAAGCCCAACCAATGGACTAATGGGCTAGTATTGGATTGGAAAACCTTAATTAGGGTTTGGAAAACCCTAATGGCATAAGACCCAAATTTTGAGAATTTATCGGGACACACACGAGATTATTTAATAACTTGAAATATTAAATAATAATCATTGACAAAAATTAACCTAAAAGAAATATTGGACTTAATGGATTAAGTCCTTAGTAGATTAAGTCCTTAGTGGGTTAAGTAGGAACACTTAACCCTAATAATCATTTCATGTGAAAGCCCTAATCTCATTTGGGCCTTGAATTGGGCCTTTCTGTTGGGCTTTGGCGATTGGACTATTGGTGGGCCATCCAACAGCAAGTTAACGGACCAAAGTAATTAGATGGGCTTTAGGGTAAGGCCCATGTGAGGACTTGGGCCCAACTTGGAAAGTTGGGCCATAGATGGGCCATAATTGGGCCTTCATGATTATGTGATATTGGATCATGAGAATTGGATTGGAATAATGGGATGGGCCTTAAAGAAAGACAATGTAGAGGTCTGGGCCAAATTTTCCATGTGTTGCGCTTCGGCCCATTCCTTGACTTTTGGGCTTTTGGAGTATGAGTTGGACTTTGAACTTGGAACCCAATTATTAATTGGATATTGTTTGATGTTGACAGTTCGGGAATCTGTCAATCAACAGCTGGAGTGTATCTGCAGGACCTCAGAAGTGTCAGGTGAGTTATCATCACTATATCAACAGGGTCTAAGGCACAAAGGCCGACCCTTTATGGATTATATTCGGATTATTGCATGTTATGCTTACTGATTTACATCCTGGTAGTTAGGATGGTGATATGATATGCTTTAGTGACCCGGTTGGGTCGGTATCCTGGTATATAGGATGATGATATGTTAGTGACCTGTTAGGTCGATATCCTGGTTATAGGATTGTTGCTATGCTTTGTGATCTGTTAGATCGGTTTGACTGTTATATATATATATATATATATATATATATATATATATATATATATATATATATATATATATATATATATATATATATATATATATGCTAGTGTTATACGATATCTATGTGCACATGATTGTCCTGGTTATAGGATGATGCTATGTTAGTGACCGGTTAGGTCTGTATCCCGGTTATTGGGATGTTGCTATGATTGGTGATCTGTTAGATCGGTTTGACTGTTATATGAAATGAGCTAGCGTATGATATTTATATGCACATGTTTGTTTGGTTGGGGGTTGGGTTGAGGCGGTCCTGCCTTGTGCTGTAGGCCAACATACTCAGGGCGGTCCAGATAAACTGAAGGCCCTGCAAAGGGATTCAGTAAGGCCGAAGGCTCGGAGAGCGGTCCAGATAGACTGAAGGCCTGCGAGGCGGTCCAGATAGACTGAAGGCCTGCGAGGCGCTCCAGTCAGGCTGACGGCTAATTATGCATGTTGTTCTGTATTTGTTATATGATATGGTTATACTTGTAAGGTGTTGGTATTTTGGGGGAACTCACTAAGCTTTGTGCTTACGGTTTCAGTTTATTGTTTCAGGCGTTTCAGATGTCTCGGCACGGCGAAGGCGTGATCATACACATCCTCGTGTTTTGGACTTATGGTCTCTGGGAAACTCTGATAATAAACCATTTTGGAAATACAAGTGTAATACTTATTGGTTTTGAAATGTTTCAAAAAGTTTTAATTTGGCTTGAATTTTATGGATGTTACAAGTTGGTATCAGAGCCTTGGTTTGAGTGAATTGGAGGAACACTCGTGTAACTCCAGTCTCAAATCAAGGAAAGGACTTTCAAAATGATTTTAAAAATGGTTTTCAAAATAAGTAAAGGAGGATGCAGGGTGTACGATCAGCCGGAGCCAGTAAGTAGACCCCAAAATACCATACAGTTGTTTGATATTATGATATGTTAGAACAGCATGCTAGTACTAGGCTAGGGATCTTCAAGGATTGCATGATAGAATTGCCTGATTACATGATGCCTGCTAGCCTAGGGTTTTCTTTATATGGGATTGACATCATTACTGTAGTTTCTTATGTATGCATCACGGCTGTACATAACTAAGATCTTATAGCCCAAGAATGTTTGATTTGGCCTTA